AAAATAATAATTGCTGAAAAGTCAAGAAAATGGTATTTTTAATTTTTTTATATTATAATTATCAACTTTCAATTCTATAAAAACTACCCCCCAATAAAATCCTATATGTAATTTTTCGTTCTTTACAGATCAGATAATTATTATACCTAAATCTGAAAAAGTGACCTGAAGTGGAGGGAAGAATGTAACTTTTAAAAATTCAACTATGATTTTCTATATAGAAGTCATACGGTTATTGGTACTAGTGGCGGATCAATAAATTAAATGAGAGGAGAACTTATTAATTATAATATCAAAAGTTTTTATATAAATTTTTTTAATTGACTTTGAAGAAGATAAAAAAAAATGATGTTATAATTTGTAACAGCAATGATTGAGAGCCACAATTTTTGTAGTTCAAATGGCTCGAAATTGTCAAAACGACGTCGTTTTGAGTACAAAATAACTTCAAAATTGTCAAAACGACGTCATTTTGGCAATTTTAAGCCATTTGAGCCACAAAAATTGTGGCCCTCAAACATTTTCCAATTTGTAATTAATATATCACGGACAATTAAAAAAAAAGAGTTATGGATATAAGTCTTAAATTATATAATGATAAAGTAATTTTTTTATACAAAATTTGAGTGAAAATTTAATATAATGGTAATATCACATCATCATTGACATATGATATCATCAACTAATAGTAAAAAGACACATGAATAGTGAATCTCACATATCAAATGTAACTAACAATCTAACAAATTCCATATATATCTTCACAGTGAGAATAATTCTACTTGCATGTCAATAATTATGATAGACGTTACCGTTATATTGAAATTTTTTCATAAAATTTTCATGGATAATATGCTTTATTGTATTCTCTTCATTTTCAATTAAAACAGCTATTATTATTCTCATAATTTTGAAATGTCATTGACATTTCACTCTAAATAATATTTTTGTAATTTTTTTATTTAAAATATTTTCTTTATGTTTGCAATCAAACCGTTATATTGAAATTTTTTCATAAAATTTTCATGGATAATATGCTTTATTGTATTCTCTTCATTTTCAATTAAAACAGCTATATTATTCTCATAATTTTGAAAATGTCATTGACATTTCACTCTAAATAATATTTTTGTAATTTTTTTATTTAAAATATTTTCTTTATGTTTGCAATAAAAAAAAAAAAAAAAAAAACCAAAATCTAAGGGGACATGTGGCCCTTCTGATCCCTCTATACCTTCGTCCCTGATTGGTACCGACTCCAACAATCCAGTTGATTGTCAGGTGGCCATTTACACATATAATACAATGCTAGAGACTTCTAAATTTATTAATACTATCGTGATAAGGCACAACACAGTTGAATCTTAATTAATTAATTTTAAATAAATCGACAATTAGCATGGTCCATGTCAATTGAGAAGAATCTAGGGAGAGTTACGGGCCAGTCCTCCTTATAGAGAAATTCTATTTCCACATATCACATTGTCTCTATATATATCATTTCTGACTCCACTCACTCAGTAATTTGATTCTTGAGCATTTCTCTCCATCCACACACCCCATATTCCAAATACACTCATTTAATAAAAAAATGTGTGTACACCCTCATATTAGCCCACACAAATATTCATGGTCGTCGTGTTGTATCGATAGGACCTGCCATGATTGATGTCAATCAGATTGAACCTTACAAACTGAACGTTACAATCAGATTAACTACAATTTATATCAGTTCCAGTAATATATTCATCTAGGTTCCTTATTTCAATTTGTTTCATGTTTGTTTGTTTATGTTTTTGGTGTAAAATTGTATCTCGGTTTGAAATTTTCTTTTTGATTTGGAATTTAGATCGGTTGAACTTTGATAGTTTGTTATTTTATGCAGTCTTTTGAAATCTGCAGTTTCACTCACATGTAATCATGTATTTTGCAAGTAAGTTCTTCTAATTCAGCTTCATGCCCTCTGCTTTACATGTTTGTTTATTTTATTTTATTTTATTTCATTAATGTACAAATCTATGTATGGCATTTGATAATGTGGAAGCAAAAACCTAGTAATGTGTTGTTTCTATTTTTTTTCAGTTATGTATTGAGAAATCTATGAAATCAGATTCTAGTTGTCCAGTTTGTAAGGTTCAATCTGATTGTGTAAAGTGTGTGGATGGATGTCTATTTTGGTCATTTTATTTAAAGATAAATTTGTAATAAAAATAAAGTTCATTAAATGTGTAGATAGAGAAAATGTGATGTGTGGAAATAGAATTTCCCCTCCTTATAGAACTTAATACCCACTAGGTCCAGTCCAAATTAATGAACTTGTTTTTCCAATTTTACCCTTAGCCCAAACCCACTACCAAGAACCATCTGTTGACAGTCATTTTTGACACCGGCTACTACGTTTGGTTGCTGACAATTATTTCCGATGACATTTCTCTCGCTACGTACCTTCTCTGACTCTATTGACATATACATACTCTTTCTCTGACTTGTTTTTACATACTATGTCTGGCTGTTTTGGGAACATGACTAAGAGCTAATTTGTGACTTTTAATCTATTTTGAATCACATCACCTCTCTATTTCTTTACACACTTTAAAAAAACAAAAAAACAAAAATCAACTTTTAACCAACTTTTCAAAATAAGCATATCCTGTTAGTTTTCACTACATCCAATAGACAAAAAAGGGTTTTCAACTTTTTGAAATTGCTTTCCTTTTCTATCGAGAAGGCAATCAACTTATGAAATATAAAATTTTCATTATTACTGATAAAGAAAGATTTGACAAATGCCACCAACTTGCATTCCAATGTATTTTAAATTTTTAAATTTAGCTAAATTAAAACATTATTTTAAAGAATTTCAAAATAATTTATTCGTTATAGTACTTATAAAATATTTCTTAACATAATGTCTTTACCGTTTGTTCTCTATTAATAAATTTCTCACTATATCGGTGACAAATTTATCAATTCATTAGTGATAAATCTATCACTTTACAAATGACAAATCCAATTTGAGAGAGAGAGAGAGAGAGAAAGAAAAGAGACACCATTTAACTACTCATTCTCACATACTCACATTTACATACACACTGACTATTATTTACCTATTTACTTAAAAAAACACAAAATTTATTTTTTTTCATAAATTATTGAGTGATAAATTTATCATTGAAGTGAGTGGTGAATTTTTCAAATCAGTTACACATGTTTTTACACATGCAGATTTTCACCAACACACTAGAGAGAGAGAATCGATCTTATCAACGACTATGTACAATATCAGATTGGCGTCGAAGATAGTAGATTAGCATTGAAAACATCTAAATTTGAAGGCATTGGTGAAGTTCAAGGTTGAAGACAATAGATTGGTGATGGAGAAAGATGGTGCCAGTGGTAATGTCGAAGATGATAGATCAATGATGGAGGAGGAGTGAAAGTGATGGCAATGAGAGAAGAGAACTAGTGTAAGGAGAGTGACAATGACGGCGAGGGTGGAAGAGGGACGACGATGAGGGAGGAGGACAATGACGATGATGGTTGAGGCGAGCGTCATTGAAGATGACATAGAACGTCGATGGTTGGAGTAAACGACGTTGAATGTGACAAAGAACAACGGTGGTTGAGGTGAGTGGCGTTAAAGGTGACGGAGGACGGCGGTGGTTAAGGAGAATGGCATTGAAGGCAACAGATAATGACAGTGGTTAAGACGAGTGGCATTGAAGGCAATGGCGGACGACGATGATTGAAGCGATCAGCGTTGAACACGATGGAGCGCCGTTGATGAAAACAACGGTGTTATCCACTAGAGAGAGAGAGAGAGAGATAACAATGAACAATATTAGGGCAACACAAAGAGTACACCGATAATAAAACACTCTAGGGTAGAAAGGTAAAACAACGAATATGATATGATTGATCTGTACATAAGAATATTCTTCAGGACTAACAAGGTAATAAGTCCCAAAAAGGGGACCGACTCGTAATAAACTCAAGAATTTAGGAGAGATGAATATTTAGTTTTACATAACTATCCGAGCCTTCTTAATATTAGACGGCCCAACCCATAGGCCATCAACAACCAAAAAGGCACTGGACAACAAAATCAAACACAACACGGCATCGTATCGCCTTGCTTAGGTGTAAAAAACACAGGTTGTATTTGGTTAAATTTTCAAATCAACTTTTGCAACGAAAAATTCAAAAATTATATCTAGTTTACAGTTTTTAAAAATTATTTTAAAAATTATTTTCTGCCTTTCTCTTTCTCCATCTCTTTTTATTTTTATATAACAATCAATCATTTTTTTCTTTTCTCTCTCCTCTCTTATTCTCTCGAAAAATTATTGTTTGGTCTAGGGACGCCACATGGCCATACCTTTCACCAATCACAATTCATCATGTCCCCTCATATTCTCCTATCACCTAACACAAATTCATAGGCCCCATCTCTTTCACCAATCCCAATATTTTTGGGGCTCCACGTGGCAATACCCTAAGATCAACCAATAACTTTTATATTTTTTCATATTCTACGCATCAATCAATCAATTTTTCTCATCCATCTATCCAACTATAATTTTTTTTTTTACAAATCATCCTAAAATTATTTTTAAAATATACCACCAAACAAATTTTGAAATTTTGTAAACTTTTTTCAAAAACTATCTTTCATTATCAAAACTAAACCAACCGAAGCCACATTTTTCTCAAGGGCCATTTGGGAACCTCAATAAAAAGTTAAAAGTCAATTTTTAACTTATTTTGAGTCACATCACATTTCTATAAAAAAGTCAAAAAAATTTAACTTTTAACTATCTTTTTAAAACATTCCTTATATTTCAATCGGTTATTAAGGAATTATTTAGAATGATTTAAATAAATATATTTTTAAATTTTTTATAAAAAATATAAAAAAATAAAGAAATAATAAAAATAAAAAACGTGAACTTTTTTGTGGTGCACCCAGACGCGGACTCCTGTAAAATTGCGTCTTTCACTTCCCTCCTGAGCTTTCAATGTAAAAACACAACTAAATGAAGAAGGAAAGGTAAACACAGCTCTCTCTCTCTCTCAGAAGATTCATCGACTCTTCAAAAAATGCTTCTTCTCTCTCCTCATCAACCCCAACAACACCGCCCCCCTCAATGTACGCAACTCTCTCTCTCTCTCTCTCTCTCTCTCTCTAAATCTATTGTATCCGTATTTATATTTATCTCTCTCTACATATATTCGTGATCTGACGTCGGCTTTTGTAGTTTCGTATTGCAGGAGGGTGAGTCGGAGGAGGTTCAGTACAAGCCATGCCGAAGAAGCCCTATGCGCTCCACGTGTTGTGGATCGGTTGGAAGCTCGTGATCGCTCTCTCTTTCTCTCTCTGCCTCTTCGCTCTTCTCCGACTCCATCGATACTCTGAAGCCGATCTCAATCCATCTTCGCTCTCTCGCAGATCTCGAGTTTTGAATAGTCACTTTGAAGGCCCTCCCAAGGTCGCGTTTCTCTTCCTCACGCGTCGAAATCTGCCTCTCGATTTCCTCTGGGGGAGCTTCTTCGAGGTTTTGTGTCATTTTCTCGAGAAAATTGTGATTTGAAAGTGACTGAGTAGGAAAATTTTGGAGGTTTTAGTGATTTTATGTTTTTTTTTTGGGAGTTTGCAGAACGCTGATGTGGCTAATTTCTCGATATATATTCATTCGGAGCCTGGTTTTGTGTTTGATGAATCGACTACTAGGTCAACCTTCTTCTTTAATCGGCATTTAACTAATAGCATTCAGGTGATTTATGAATTTATGCTTCAATTTACTGCAATGACAGAAGATAAACAATTATTGGTTGTTTGGATGCTTAGAAAAAAAGAAAGAGGAAAAGTAACTGAAATGATGGATAATTTTCATTTTTGCAATCTTTGATCCTTTGCCATACATAAAATGAAAATCTTTCCTCAATAAAGCTTAAGTTTTTAGTTATTTTTTTCTTTATTTGGTTTCAGATCAGATGATAAAATTAAAAAAAATAAAGCTTTTCAACTTTAATAACCTTTTTGTTTTGTTTTTGCTTTATGTACTTGGAATTAAGTTGTTATTTTTGGCGTTCTATTAGAATTGATTTGAGTAGTGATGTTGTAGGTTGGATGGGGAGAAGCGAGTATGATTCAAGCAGAGAGGTTGGTACTAGAGGCAGCTCTTGAGGATCCAGCAAATCAGAGATTTGTTTTCTTGTCAGATAGGTCAGTATAATTATCATTGGAACAACTGAATTTGTTTTAATATGACAGGTGGTACTATGGTAATATGTTTTGAATTATATTTTGTCTCTGTTGAGTACATTAGATGGTTTAACCCAATGAATAGCATTGAGGTTGCACTAACTTCAAGATGTGTATAATTCGAATCTAAGTATTCCATGTGTGTTGTTTCATGTCTATGATAACATTGGAACTCCTAGATCATGCAATTGTAGTTCACATGTTTATGCTTTTTGAAGATTAATTTGACAATCTTTGATATACGGAATCTCCCTTCTAGCGAAAAATAGAAGAGGTGAAAGCTGTTGACCCTTTTTTGATGTGTTCACTCACTTCTTAAGGTGGGAGTATGTGCAAGAGGTGAATTTGGAGAGATAAGATACACATACTAATATATTATAACTGAAAGCAAAGATAATATTTATTTCATACTTATTTCTTGGATTTAGGCTTTCTTTAGCTTCCATAAACTACTACCACTTACTTCTGCCTCTGGAAGGGCCAAAACCTTAAGGCCATGTTTGTTTGGGCGGACTGGATTAGCATTCCCATGACTAATAGTCCCTATGACTACCAATCCGTTGGATTATGTGTCCTATCTTAACTAATAGTCAAGTTTAAAATAATTAAGCTGTTGACCCTTTTTTGATGTGTTCACTCACTTCTTAAGGTGGGAGTATGTGCAAGAGGTGAATTTGGAGAGATAAGATACACATACTAATATATTATAACTGAAAGCAAAGATAATATTTATTTCATACTTATTTCTTGGACTTAGACTTTCTTTAGCTTCCATAAACTACTACCACTTACTTCTGCCTCTGGAAGGGCCAAAACCTTAAATTAAATCCAAAGCCAAAGCCAAAGCCTTAGAAAATGGGTAGAAGTTGCATAAACTTAAGTTTCCATTCCCTACTCCCCACTGAGGTCACTCCCAAGGCTTAGGTAATTACCTGGTAAATGTGGGATGGGAGATTACATTTACCCGGGGATTTTTGGATTGGTGTAAAAAAAAGAAAAGAAAGGTTTTATGGATCTCTTCTGCCTCTTATGGTTAAACCTTGACAATAGCTGTGTTTCTGTGAACCCATTTTCTAATTATGCAAGTTTATGTACCAAATGTAGTTGACAAGTTTGGTAGCAGCATGGGCCAAACCCCCCTTCTTAGTTCCTGTTTGACCTTAGATTCATTTAATTTGCATTCTATCTATGAAGCATAGGTATGAGTACGGATACATGGATACAGTAAAATCCAAAAAAAATAGGGTGCGGGTATGGGTACGGCTTGGTATGTTTATAAAAAAAATATTTATTTTTAATTTGGAGTAATGCAAAAATTGATTAAATGGTTTAATCTGTTAAGATCTAACCTATAATTAACATTTAATGTCAAAAATAAAGGTATCAACTAAAATTAATTGTCATTATATTAAATAACTTACAAACCGTAATTTAATTTTAAAATCATATTAAGTATAAAATTTTAAAAAAAAAAAAATCTAGTGAAAGAAATTTTATCTTTGTAATAGAAAAAAATATTGTTTTGATTAAGATACGGTACGGTTTGAGTATATATTAGGTACGTCTAGGTATGTCAAAAATTAGGAAGAAAAAATTTAAGTACATATTTCGTGTATTCGGTATGTATGTAGAAGTACCATACGAAGTATCACACGCCGATAAGTATCCGGTACGGGTACAACATGCTTATCGAAGTACCTATACTTCATAGCATTCTATGCATGGTGTCAGCAAAGACAATAACTGGGTGTTTGTGGAACCATTTAGTAATTTTTCATTTTCAATCTGTGAGTAGCTTAAATATTAAACTCATTGGTTCTTTCCTTTCCTTTCCTTTCCTTTCCTTCCCTTCCCCTATTCTCTCTGTTTCTGCAATTAATTTTGTCACAATGTTTTCTGTTTTTATTGGCTTTATCTTGATTCTAGCTACCATTTTCCTAGATTTTTCATCGATGCTTTTGGTTATTTGAGAATTTCCAATCAAATTGGCTTCTAAAATTTAATTTCCTTCACACAAGAAGCCATACCCCAATTGCTTACAGCCAGCTAATGCTTCCTTCTTTTATTTTATTTTATTTCTTTTCCTGACATGTTTTATTTTGGGCCATACGTTTCTGTTTTTATTCCTGACATCTATATTTTTTAAGCCATACCCCAATCCATTTTTTTGTCCCTAATAATTTCTCTTTTATATTGTGCAGCTGTGTTCCTTTGTACAACTTTAGCTATATATACAGATATCTGATGGCTTCTCCAAAGAGTTTTGTTGATAGGTAGATCGATTGCTTTAGTTATTGATATACTGATAATAATAATAAAAAATTGCTTCAGTTATTGATTTGGTAATCAGTGATTTTTCCATAGATTATACAGTAATTGACCTATTTATAAAGCCTTTTTGTGTTGTAGCTTTCTTGATAAAAAGGAAGGCCGCTATAACCCTAAGATGTCATCTGTTATACCAAGGAGCAAATGGCGAAAAGGATCACAGGTTATGCTTCTTAGTCCTTGATTTAAATTCATCATCAGATTGAGTTTACAGGAATAGATATACTTAATAGAGATTGTTAAAGGTCATTCGTAAGTACATTATGTGAGTCATTTATGAAAAAGCTAGGTGATTCATTTGGACCTTGCCTTATTGTCCCCTTAAAGACAACTCTTCCATATTGTACTAGGAGTTGTAAATCGAAGTATGGAAACCTTGAATATGATCTATACCATCATTGAAAGCGGTGGCGCTATTTCTCGTATTAGCTTTGTTTCTAAAGAACAAAATCATATTCTTAAATGCTGCATATAACATTCTGGAATGGTTTCGGGTATTGGAAGACTCCCCGAAACTTGTGTTGTGTTGTCTTTTGAGCTTTGATTATTTTTTTGGATTAATGTTGAATACCAGTATCAACCTGTCTCTATTGACTCCAATTTATTCAGTTCAAGGAAAATACCAGAAACTTCTCTGCTTTAGTTCAATCTTAAACTAGCCAGTTCTTCTTCCTTTTTTTTTTTTTTTTTTTGTAAATTTTTTGTAAATTTTATTTTTTTTTGCTATACAAACAAGAAATTGTGGTTGTTATTATTTTTCTTCTCTTTTCCATCTTAATATTATCTCTCTCTTGTTGTTGTTCAAAAAAAAAAAATATATATATTATGACTGAGGATATTATATGCATATTTTGTTCTCTGATTTGAAAATTGATTTTGTACTTTCAGTGGATTTCTTTAGTTCGGAGCCATGCTGAACTTGTTATAGATGATGAGGTCATCTTTCCTGTCTTCAAGAAGTTCTGCAAGGTAGATAACTGGGGGCATTTTATTCTTCTCTACTCTACCATTGTTTTATGTGTAGTCAGCATATATTTCTTTTCTTAATCGTGGTTGGTTGCTTTTATAAGTGGTCATTATAAATAGCCCAGCAGAACAGAAGTAACGCATAAGTATTTTCCCACACTATTGTATATTAAGAGGGACCTTTTGACATCCCTTTTAAAGCTTTTTTGAGATGTAAATGGAAAATGTGAATTACATAAATTCAACCACCATGTAAATTCTCTGGGATAATCCCTTGATTGTAATTTTGAACTTACCAGTGATAACAAATGATGCCCCCTGCCTGTAGATGTTAGTCATTGGCGATGATTTTGACAAGTGATCCTGGTTCTGTTAATTTGCAAAATTGCATCTGTTATATGTTAAATGTTAATTTGCTTAATTTTTTATGACTTTGCAGAGACGCCCACCCATAGATGCCAGCAAGGGAAAGCAGAATATTGTAAGTGAATAGTTCATGTTTCTTCCCTTAAATTTTTAGTTTGTTATACATTTACTTGCCCCCATTCCCCCCCACACACGATTTTTTTTTTTTTTTTTCTTTCACAAAAATAGAGAATATGCTTCTTTCCTTAATTTTTGGGGGCCATTTTTAGCTTATTTGTTCCCAAAATTGGAATATATTTTAATAACTTGACAACAACAATAATGCTGATAGCCAATGCTCTGCTCCTCCTTTTGTAGTACACCAAGTCTCAGTGTAGAAATCTACCATTCATAAATGTGATTAATATGTAATGTATGTTTTAGCTGCCTAATTTATTTTGATATTAATGTATTACGGAAGTGTATCAAACAAGTACTACCAAAATTACTCGCTATTATTGTGATAATATTGGAATTTACAACCTTTAATTTTAGGGACGTTCATTTAGAAAATGGGGAACAAGAGGCGACTGTTTCCTCCTATGGAAAAATATCTAATGGTTATCCTGGAAAATTCATATTTTTGCTGTCTTCTCCTCTTGTGATATCTATAATTTGGAAGAATCACTCTCCACTTTTTATCGATGTTTCTTAATATCAAGTCGCTTTGAGCTGCACTTAACATACTCCTTTCATGGTGGCAATGATATTCTGAATATAGTTTTATATAATGCAGAAACTTCAGAAGCAGCACAACTGTATCCCAGACGAACACTATGTTCAGACATTATTTGCAGTAAGCAATTCATGTTTGTTGTCTTTTTCATTAATATTCTTTGATTTGGGGATCCTGTGATTATTCTTCTCAAGCACAGAAAATTATTGAGTTGAGCCAAGCAGTTAACTTTTCGGACTTGGTAAAATTTAGAGCTCTCAAGCTTCGTTTGATCTCGTTTCGAAGCTCAGTGCAGCATGTTCAAGCTTCGTTCAATTGATGTTAGAGAAACTAGAGTCGACTTTGGGCTAGAGGTTGGTTCACTCAAGTACTTGCGAAGTAGCTCAGACTTCGTAGGAATTCCTTCAAACGTGCTATGGCTGAAATAAAGAGAAGATATAAAGATAGAGGAGATGAAAGAAAGGGAAGAGAGAAACATAGGAGAAGAAAGGGAACATAAAGAGAATACTGTGTGTGTGTGTGAGAGAGAGAGAGAGAGAGAGAGAGCTTAAAAGAAACATAATTACTGCTTGGTATATGAACAAAACCTACTAAAGGGACAAAACCCCTTGTTCACTAGCCTAGGCCCTAGGTTAGCTGATCTGGCGTATATTTAGTCTCTACTCTGTTTGTTGAACAAGCTTGAACATGTGGCTTGAGCGTGGTTTGTTAATTTGTCCTCCCTTCTTTTGGTGGGTATGTGTTTGGGCTCAGTGAACCCTTACCCTAGTCAAGCTCCAGTTGTGCTTGAACAACTCATTTATTTATTTATTTTGATAAATCATGAACATCCCATTTATTTGCAACCCTAGTCTTTTTTACTAGGTTAATTTATGATCAATCTTATTTTCTTTGTACTTTTTGATAGATGAGTGATCTTGAAGGTGAACTTGAACGAAGAACAGTGACCTACACCTTGTGGAACCATTCTACGACAAATATGGAAAGACGAGGTTGGCATCCTGTTATGTTTAGCTATGCAAATGCAGGCCCTCAACAAATCAAAAGAATAAAGGTGATTGTTTTACACATTTCCCCTCTTACTTGATGATTAACATATAGAATGTGGGTCATAGATGGATGAGCCTATTCTATGTTACCTAGAACACAGATCGTTCTGGTATGAGGAACAAGAATAGGAATGTGATATGCCTCATACTTTAAAATGTGGTACAATGGGGATTTGTATTTTTCTTCAAATTAATCGTTCAACAACACAATTCTACAAGGATTATGACGCATTTTACATTTTGTCAATCCAAAATTGTATGTCATCCGGATTTAACTTTTTGATTATGAAGGTGATCTTTTAATGAAAAACAATGAAAATAGCGTGTTCCAAAGGTAAATTGCTAGTGTTAGCGTTTTCTGGTAACACTAAACCTGATGCGTGTTTTTTCATGCATCTTCTTCAACACATTGATAGAGTCAGTTATTTTGACCTATTTATCTTCAATTTGCATGCTGTTTGCTTCTTTATTTAACTAGCTGTGTACTATCTCACAGGATGTCAACCATGTATACTATGAGACCGAGTACCGGACCGAATGGTGCAGTAATAATTCTACACTTGTTCCTTGTTTTTTATTTGCGAGGAAGTTCTCTCAAGGAGCTGCCATGCGTCTTTTGAGTGACAGTGTGGTCGGCCTCTTTGATGCTTCTACATTATTAGATTCACCATCATGATTTCCTCAATCCTCTGACAGACCCTGCCTTAACTGCTTATCTAACCATCAACTTACAATAGAGTAAGAGAGAGACTATAATTTGGACAGCAGAGTGACCTTTAAAGTCATATAGATTAGATACAGAGGGATAGAAATGTTTGAAAAGTTTTGATACTACACAACCTAAAGACTTTTTGATGCGGCTGTTTAATCTTATACACAGTTTTTTAGGAGATTGTTGGAAGTTAAAGCAAATCAATGAATTGTTGTTTGTATAAATTGTAAGATTTTACTTGTCATCTGTTACGTTCTTTACTCAGTGGAAAAAGTATGTTTTATTCATTGTGGAATGTTTGTTTTTCTATGTTACATTCTTTTTGGAAGCATTGAAATAGCTGAAAGTGGTTATGCTGAAGGGTTGTTATTGATTCGACGACAAACTTGGTTTAAGGTTGCAAGTGTAGTAGCACGTTTCTCATGGTTTATTAGATTGTGTGGCTGTTAGCCTTTGTTTGGTTGATGAATTTTTGAGGTGATATAAAGAAAATGCCGAAGAAATGACTATTCCATGGATTTTTTGTTTTCTTCTTCTGAAGAAGATTCCATGTTTTGATTACCATAAAGCATGATAATTATTAGTTTTAAGATATCAGTGTCTTGTCATCACAACAAAACCATTTTTATTTTTTTTTTCAAATGGAGGAAAAGTGCAAATAAATGTTTTCTTTCTCATTTCCCATTCCATTCCTAGCACTCTGCTGTTGATAACAATTATTTATCAGGCTGCAGCTAGTACCGAGTACTAGTAGGGTAAAACACTCTTTTCACCAAGATAGTTTGATCTAAATTTTATTATGGTACGTGTTAAACCATTCCATCCCCATAACACTTTGCTTGCCTTCTCTATCCCTGTGTTGACAGGTAAAAGCTTAAAGAGAACCATAGATCGAAGAAAAGAACTATATGCCATCATTTTGTGTATTTGATTCTCACACAAAAGAATTGCCTATATCTTGATTGGAGCAAAGTCCTACTTCCAATTACTAAGAGCAATCTCAGATGCAATGCAGTTGAGATGATAAAAAAAAGTTCAATTAGGTTCCCTAGAACTAGCCCAATGTTTAGCCATGTATAGGACTTTTCTTAGAATGACCGACTGGTTTATCCTAATAAACTTCATATCAATTTGAAGTCTGGTTTAAGGTTTCGTTTGGAAAGTGATTATTTTTCAATTTTTTTGGCTATTTGACTATTTTAGTAGGCTATTTTAGTTTGTATGTTTGGAAAAATGGATTGAATTTTTTTTGAATGATTGTATAGAGAAAAGTGTTTGAAATGATATTTTATATTGAAATGACCAAATTGCCCCACATGTAAGCTGTCCTGTTCCAAGCTAAGCATTCGGAATGCTGACGTTGGACGAAAGGGAAATTCAGATCACCATTTTTTTTTCAAATTTTGAACAGTGCCAATGGCTCCAATTGCTGTACCTGGGCAAAAAATTTGAAGGATTGTGAATTGGTGAATTGAATAGTAATTTTTTAACAGCAAAAAAAAAAAAAAAAAAAAAAAGATTGGGCAAATTACATATACACCCCTCGAGGTTTGGCTAAATTACAGATGCCCCCTGAGGTTTGAGAAATTACGAATTCCCCCCTGAATGCTATATTTGCATAAGAAATTAGGGGGTAATTTGTTATGAAATATAAACCTCAGGGGGTAAATTGTTATGAAAATACAAACCTCAGGGGGTGGGATGTAATTTCTGAAACCTCAGGGGGTATCTGTAATTTAACCAAACCTCGAGGGGTGTATATGTAATTTGCCCAAAAAAAATTAAAACTTGTAAACAATTAATTGCATATATTAACAAACCTTTAGAAATTATTTTAAACCTTACCCATTAATATAATTTATAATTTTTTTAAAATTTATAAATTATTAATAATCATCAGTTTGTAGGGATGGCAATGGATAACCTACCCTGTGGATATTCATGGAGACCCAACCCAAATACATGGGTTTTTCTATTTTTTTTCTTATCCATTGGGTAGGGCAAGTAATATTCTTTAAATATCCACAGGGGATGGGTATCCACTAATTTCCCCATATTTTTTTTTTTTTTTTTTTTATTATTATTATTATTATTATTATTATTATTTAAGCCGCAACATTCACCGAATTTTGCTCGAATTGTGCGAACAAGATATTCATTTGGATAATTCAGACACGACAAAATTCGGTGAATCAAACATTATTCTATTCGTTTTTAGTGAATAAATGTCTAATCCTATACCTAGTGTATTAAAATTTTTGAAAAAAAAAATTGAGTTATACTAGATGTCTATCTATGGTCATGGCTTTTCTCCGGTCTTTCATCAGAGAAAGTATTGTTAGGCCTTTTGAGTCTCATTTTGATAATTTAAATCGTTTATATTTTAAGGTTCATCGAGGATATTATCTTTGTAAAAAATCAAGTCAATCAGATAATAACAACTATGTGTTTGAATCAGTTTTGTATGGGAAAAAAATGAACAATGAGAAAATAAATAATTCATACAAAATATATATATATATATATATATATATGAATGTATTTGAAAATAAGGAAATTGTAGAGAATCGAAACAAGCATGAGTCGTGATTGGTTAGAAAGGATGGGTACAAAGATTTATTTGTTGGAAAAACAAAAGGGGATACAAAGTCTTACTAAATAATTTTTTTTAAAATAAAAGAATTTTTCTTAGTTATGAACAGATTTAACTGAAATCAGCTTGTTTCCCAATGTTATGCTTCATTTATTTAGATAGAAAATATTTTTTCATGAAAAATATTTTTTTATAAAAAAAATTAAAAATATATTTTTTTATATTTGGTGGTGGTGGTAGTGGTTATGGAACGAAGGTGAAAGTAGAGATTGTGACATAGTGGTGGGGTGATGGCGGCAGTGATGATGGTAGTGGCTATGGTGATTGTACGGGGAGCAAATATTCCGGCAAGCTCATACTCTTTTCTTCCAAGCTCCTACCTGTCCGATCGACCTGCGAGCACAACGACGGTAACTCGGAATACCCCTCCGACGATCAAGTTAGACACACACAGGGATAGAGAGAGAGAGAGAGGATTAAGTGTTTAGTGTAAATCTCACCAAATGTTCATCTGTTAGACATGGGGGGCGCAGACTCGCTTATATACCTTCTGCACCCCAAATCTACTCCCATTAGTCTCTCGACACGTGGTGCTGCTATCCCATCTGTCAGCACAAATCCAACAATCACCACCTAACCAAACTGTTAGGAAACCTCGGCGGAGCTCAGCAGTATGGCGGAACCTCCTCGGTTTCTCCTGACCGCGTTACGCGACATACCTGAGTGATTCATTCGCCGAGCTCCTATACAACCGAGTTCGACCGCATTCCGACAAGCCGAGCTCGAGGCAGGTCGGTCCGGTTAGCCGTCGGCCTTTCTGCAGAGCTAGTTAACATGTCTGTCTTCAAAACTTGCTCAATCGATGACCGGGCTAGTTAACTTGTTCGGGCCGGGTTAACTCTTCCTCGGTACTCTCTTTGCAAGCTGATGACCGGGCTAGTTAACATGCCTGTCTTCAAAACTTGCTCAGTCGACGCTTCGTCTTGCTCTCCTGTCTCTTCAACTTTGACGCCGCCGTTACTGGGGACACGTGTCTCTCGCCTATTGGCCTCGAGCAGCCAACCATCACGTCCCTTTCACATTCGAAACTATTGGCGCTCTTTCACCCCTACAAACACGCCACAACTTACTTCCTTTCGATCTTACTGACTCTCCTGCGTTCCAGTTGTTCCAGAGCTCCTGTGCTTCTTGCAAGCTTCGTTCCTGCCCTCCCTTGCATTCATGTTCGAAGAACAAGCTCCTGCCCTTAATTGGTAAGTCCTTCGAGCCTCTTTTTTGCTATTTCATTTGATATTTCACATTTTAGGGCACTAAATCCGTAGGTTTTAGGATATACCCCCCCAAAGACCCTCTCTTGCCCCTATTCTCTTCGATGTTCTTCAGTCCCAGTGATGAACACATGAACACACCAAGAACTGGAGCGGACCGGGCTCCAGGTCGCCTTTTGATCCAAAAAACAATTAGACCGAGCAATTTACAAGTTTGCAAAAACCTTAGTAAAAACTGAGGTAGACAGAGGACTTGGCCGCTCGACCGGGCTAACAACTAGTCTGCTTGAACGACCGAGCTCCTCGGTTTGCCTTCGCAACCGAGGTAGTCTGGTACTCTTCATGATTGAGCTAAAATCAAGCTCGTTTTGCCCGACTGTGCTTCCACTTACACTTGCCATCCTTTTCCTGCAGAGTCCAAGGGGACCATTGACCAATTACCGAGGCTCTTAAAGACTGAGTAACCATTAAACTCCAGTCTGTGCCAAACCACCTCAGCCGAGCTAAACTAGCCGGCTACACACGGGACGCTTCCGCTTCCTTGTTGACACTCTGCCTGCCTTGGTCGTATTCCGGGAAGAGTATGGTATCCCGGCCGACGTCCACCTAGAGCTAGGCGAAATTAAGACAACCCCTTGGGGCAGATTAGACCAGTGCCCCTTTACCGTGCTATCCATTGAAGGAGGCCTCCGCTTCCCGGTCAACCCACTGATGACCGAATTCTTACGCCACACTGGGCTAGCACCCACTCAAGTCTCAACCAACACTTACCGAATAATCAACAGGGTCCACGAGTTGAACAACCGGCTAGGAACCAACTTTGGTTTAGCCGAGATACTCCGTCAATACACCCTTGGGCACACGGGCGACGGCTTCGCCTATTACTTAAAAATTCGACTGGGTAAAGAAAAAATAGTGACCGGCACCCCAGACAAGGACTTACACGACGACGACTTCTTCTGGGTGTCTGGTAACTATGAAACAGGCGACGTACCGGGTTGGTTCATTAGCAAGAACTTCGGTGAGACATGTAAGCCGTGCTAATTGCTCGGTCAACTTATCTTCACTATTCTGTACTTGACACTTTTCTTCTTTCCGTTGTAGCGATCCAAGCCTTGCAAGCCAACTACCACTACCCCAACGAAGCACCCATCAGGACCGTGCTCCGTTACTGCAACCGGGATTGTAACGAGCTCTTCGGCTACACTCCAACATACCGGTACTCAGCTCCATGCCGGAGTAAGGTCATAGACTTTCTCCGTGCTCCATCACCTCCTCTAGATCCCACACTGCCAGACGTCCCCTTCATCCGTTTAACCGAGGCAGAAGAAATGGCGAAGAGAAGCTGTATCAAGAACCTACTCACCGTAACCTCCACCGAGATACTGAGCATACCAACCTGCTCTCCTGCTGTCGGTCAATCCAGCGGGGCCG